CAAATCAAAAGCGTTCTCTACCTAAAAGGCCGCTCGATCTTGGCATTTTCTTGATGCAGTTCAAATTCCCGCATCCTTTTTCTAATTATCTTCATAGAGAACATCGGCAGATTTCCCCTGTCTCAGTGGACATATTATGATACCTTTTGAGTTTACGATGAACGAACTCGTCCTTCTTACTTGTGGATGGTTTTGGTCAACCCGGCTTATGTCTGTGCACAGTTCTTTCATTCACAATGCGTCGCACAGTGGCTTCACTTATAGTGAAAATACTTGCTAACGACTTACACGGCACTCCTGTTGCATGTTTCCGTATTCCTTCGTAATCAAGTGCAGATAAAAGTTTTCTGGATATCATTCCCCTACGGTTTGACGGAGAAAAGTGACGGCACTTCACAGGCTTTCATATATATGCTTGTTTAAAATCCTTATTTTCGGTGTGGTAAAACCAACCACAGCTATGCTAATTTATTACTTAAATCTATGGCGCAAGACGCACCAGATTTGCAAAACAGAATTTTTTTAAACGAATCTGCTTTTTTTCCGAAATCGATGCGACTGCTCCTATTTGCATTAACCTCATTTTTATGAACGCAAAACGAAGTTCTCCATTCTCTAAAAAGACCTATTTAAATCCTTTCTAGTTTAAATTATAGCACAACATGCAACAACAAGCGTTTAATAACGCAGAAAATTAATTGAATGTCAAGAACCATTGGATTTTGCCCGAGTTTATCCGATTTTGCCTTGAATATGCTGACCCGAACTAAACTCTTCTAGAAAGCAACATTTTGCGTCCCAGGTCAATTCAATGAAACAAATAAACAGCCTCAAATGTGTGTTAAAGTACCCCCTCAACTTTCGATCTTCACCTTTCATGAGTTAGGCAATCTACTATAAGTTCACTGTACACCTTTACCGTCGACTTAGACCACCTACAGCATAACCGTCTGGCTACAGGGGAAGTTCATCTTGTTCCTGTGAATGCACAGGGCATTCGCATGTTCACCATCTAAATCTACATCGACGTTCCTAATTTAATAACAGCGACATTTCCTGTTTCTTCAGACCTCGTAGCGTATCGTTGCCTACCCCCAGACCATTTTACCGCAGTCTAAACCAACAAGCGAAATTATTTCACAGTTCCTAAAACAAGAAAAATGGGTGATCTATTATTTATTTTTCCTTAGCATGTGCGCTAAACACTAACTGGATTCTCTTCTGTTACTGCCTCTGCTGATAAGTTTGGGTATTAATCGGCCGATCAAAATCCATGTTGCACTTATCCACTTCCCATTTTCTCGATAGCGTAGTTTTGGTCAAAACTATAAATCATTAGGTGCACTATAAGGCTGCCATGCCTGTTCGTTTCTTGGACAGCCATCTTCGCGCAACGAAGAGCATTCCTTAATCTCAAACGAAGCAGTCGTGACTTTCTTCCCTTCCGCTCTCTACTCCAATCTTCCACTCCCCCCTCCCACCTCTTTATTGCCTTTCCGGTAGCTGCCTGTAATTCCTTTTGTATATAGCCGTATCGCTCACATTCTCACAGTCAAGGATATGAAAAGACGCACAGCTGTTGATGCTAATTACAAAAAACAACTTTTTTGACTACGAATAGAATCACCCGCATAGAGACTGGCTGTGTATTTGTAACCTTGTAATTTCCTTCATGGTCTTTCATTACTCCATTGTTGCAACCTTGAAATCCTGTGCGCATCGTCTGCACTTTTGATCGGGCAGCCGGATCTTACATAACGGTATAAGCTTCGTGCTAATAAAGCTTGCCCCTCCCCGTTTCTGGTCCCGTTGTCTGTCTGCTTCCTCCAAGATAATGCCATATAAACCCTTTACCTTTTACCGGGTGAGGTTTGCTGAGTCGCGCGACCTACCTCAGAGCAAAGTGCAGAGCTAAACCGTTGGACGTTGAACAATTTGTAATTTTGAGTCTAGTATATAGCTCAAGCAAAATTCTATTTTGAAGACTTTGCCAGCCACCTGTTGTCATTCCATTCGCAAATAGTCATTTCTTAGGAATCACTGGTGGAAAATACATTCATTGTGTTCCTTGACAAAGAAATTACTTATTTTGGATAGTCGATATTCGGAACAACAGGATTCTCAAGTTTAGAGAGGTCATACTAGGAGCCCATTAAACGCTATCTCGGACGCGTGTTTACCTCGCCTTCCATTGAATTGACAACCCTTTCTAGGAAAAGTTGCTACTTACCGGTTAATATCCCATTCTTTTTGGTTTTATGTTGTTCATTGATTACCTGCGGAATAATTATGATGCCCTTTTAAAAGAGAGGCTTGTCAGATAAATAAGAAGCCACAGACACATGCTAACACGTTGGAGATAATCAACTATTTAAGCCGAAATTTTCTGTATACATTACTATATTGAACAACAGGGCCATTGACTTACAAAAATGACTACGGAATTGGACGATTTTTATTTGAAAAATGCGCGATGTATATGTCTTTCCGCATGACAATGTTTTGGGTGGTCTGAAAAACAATTAATGGAAATTTAGGCTGCTAGTTTTGCGAGTTAACTTTATAAAGAGTCAGCATCAAAATAAATAAACATTTGGGCCAATTACACTCTTTAACACTTGAAATTCCTCTGCTTTCGCGTAGCTCGGATGTCACGAAGTCATTGTGGGCTACTGGGTTCGTAATGGACAGTCGATTCGCCAGTCAATTATGCACTACATGCAGAGCCAGTTGTGTTACTCCATGATTGATCTGGACATCTTCCTAATGCAGGTGAGCTTACAAAACTTTATTATGGCTCTTTATAACATTTATTTTTGATAAGAATATTACTATTAAAGTTGCCCTTAAGTTAAAAATCTTCTAGATTTTGCCTTAAAGTTGGTGATGTGTTTGTACATTTTGAACACTAGAAAATCAGGTAATGGAAATCTTCCAGTTTTCCTTTACATTGTTATACACAGCAGAGGTTTTGGTCAATGCCAGTTGCTTACCGAACGAAATCCGGTTGAGGCAACGGCGTA